AGTTAATGTGTGTGAAGAAGGAATAGTTGATGTGTGAGAAGAAGGAATAGTTAATGTGTGAGAAGAAGGAATAGTAAATGTGTAAGAAGAAGGAACAGTTAATGTGTGAGAAGAAGGAATAGTTAATGTGTGACAGGAGGAATAGTTAATGTGTGTGAAGAAGGAATAGTTGTTGTGTGAGAAGAAGGAATTGTTAATTTGTGAGAGGAGGGATAGTTAATGTGTGAGAAGAAGGAATAGTTAATGTGTGAGAAGAAGGAATAGTTTATGTGTGAGAGGATGGATAGTTAATGTGTGTGAAGAAGGAATAGTTAATGTGTGAGAAGAAGGAATAGTTAATGTGTGAGAAGAAGGAATAGTTAATGTGTAAGAAGAAGGAATAGTTGATGTGTGAGAAGAAGGAATAGTTAATGTGTGAGAGGAGGGATAGTTAATGTGTGAGAAGAAGGAATAGTTAATGTGTGAGAGGAAGGAATAGTTAATGTGTGAGAGGAGGGATAGTTAATGTGTGTGAAGAAGGAATATTTGTTGTGTGAGAAGAAGGAATAGTGAATGTGTGAGAGGAGGGATAGTTAATGTGTGTGAAGAAGGAATAGTTGTTGTGTGAGAAGAAGGAATAGTTAATGTGTGAGAGGAGGGATAGTTAATGTGTGTGAAGAAGGAATAGTTGTTGTGTGAGAAGAAGGAATAGTTAATGTGTGAGAGGAGGGATAGTTAATGTGTGTGAAGAAGGAATAGTTGTTGTGTGAGAAGAAGGAATAGTTAATGTGTGAGAGGAGGGATAGTTAATGTGTGAGGAGAAGGAATAGTTGATGTGTGAGAAGAAGGAATAGTTAATGTGTGAGAGGAGGGATAGTTAATGTGTGAGGAGAAGGAATAGTTGATGTGTGAGAAGAAGGAATAGTTAATGTGTTAGAAGAAGGAATAGTTAATGTGTGAGAAGAAGGAATAGTTAATGTGTTAGAAGATGGAATAGTTAATGTGTGAGAAGATGGAATAGTTAATGTGCTGATATATCACTCTACTTCTTTAAATATAAACAACATACATATCATTTCGTCATGTTGTATATCAATAAACGTGTAAAATAGAAATATAAACATTCGAGTTGTCAGACGTACAGATGGGTGACAAACATACCGTTGTTTTGCAGTAGTACACATCCTCTTCCTAGCCCCACACACACACACACACACACACACACTCAGTTAGGTTTATTAATGCGTATGTTTTGTGAAATACCCGGATACAAACATATCTACAGAGTAGTTGACAGACATATACATCTGTTATGTTCCTGTTCTTTGAGGAGATGTAAGGTTAAAGATCAATTTGTAATTATGCCCCAGCGATATGTCGGCGTCCAACAACGCGACTTCGCCCTGTCGGGTATTCTGCTATAAACATATTGGTCAAGCCAGCGCATACCTGTGGCAATGTTCACGTGACCAAGTCAATTTTCACGTTTTTCTGTTTGTGACGAACCCTTTAATTAACGCTTTATCAACGTGCTTGGGTGTACACAGCCATTATCCTGATCAAATATGTCACATTCTCAGCACAATAGAATTATAGTTTCAGCACCTCCTTGTTCTTTCTACACTCTGTCTGAAGACGCTCAGACGGTGTAAACATCAGCAGCGGGAGTCTAGCACAGACAGACTGGATTTGCTCCAACAGGACGTCCTCCAACATTGGTTTGGTAACATACAATAATGCTCCAACATTGGTTTGGTAACATACAATAATGCTCCAACATTGGTTTGGTAACATACAATAATGCTCCAACATTGGTTTGGTAACATACAATAATGCTTTATCTTCAACCTAATGCTGTTACTTTAAAAAAAATATACTAAAGGGATACCACTAGATGCCAAACAGAACCGATCAGCAACATTCTGAACAACTGAAATGAGAATTCTATCTGGACCATTTTCCACAGCGCTGATGTGTTGATGATATTACTTACAATTGCTGATATAGTATAGGGCGTGGCTTATCAGGCGTAGTTCACTAATCAATCAATTTGATTGATAGGTAGTGACGGGTGAGGTGACAGGTGAACGTCAATCAGGTCATCTTGAGGCGTATCTACATGATGAGGTCAACGGTATATGGTCCATGATAGTTACACTATGATTAGAAGCCATGCGACATGAACGTGCAAACGACATCTGGGTCCAGGCGAATGTATGTGAATGTGTGTTTGGTGCACAGAGCGACGTTTCGGTGTAGATTCTTACACTGTTATCAAGCTAAGGGAATGCCGATACAAAGTTTCGTAGAATCATTTTTGCTGTTAAACTTAAACAAAACGTTTGAATATATTGATGGTAATATGACTAGTCCCTCAAACTAAGTTTAATACAGTTAAATTAGTTAATTATGATTACTTTTAGTAAATAATCGCTCGAGGGAAACTTCAAGAAGGATCGGGTACGTGCATCGGCAAAACAATCGCGATGGGAGAGGAAGTGTGTGTGCGTGCGTGCGTGCGGGGGAAGAGCAGGTTTCGGTTGTGGTACGTTACGTTGTGTTTTATCAGGGCGAAATGAGGATGTGAAGCGGTAGTGTTGCAATTCGCGTGGAGATGGCAACATATACAGATGTTTTGTATTCGTGTGGAGGGGGCAACAAATACAAATGTTCTGTATTCGTGTGGAGGGGGCAACATATACAGATGTTCTGTATTCGTGTGGAGGGGGCAAAATATACAGATGTTCTGTATTCGTGTGGAGGGGGCAACATATACAGATGTTCTGTATTCGCGTGGAGGGGGCAACATATACAGATGTTCTGTATTCGCGTGGAGGGGGCAACATAAACAGATGTTCTGTATTCTCGGTGGCGGGCAACAGAAATAAGTGGTCTGTATTCTCGGTGGGGGGCAACATATGCAAATGTTCTGTATTCGCGTGGAGGGGGCAACATATACAAATGGTCTGTATTCGCGTGGAGGGAGAAACATATACAAATGGTCTGTATTCGCTAGGAGGGGGCAACAAATACAAATGGTCCGTATTCGCGTGAAGGGTCAACATATACAGATGTTCTGCATTCGTGTGGAGGGGGCAACGGATGCAAATGGTCTGTATTCGCGTGGAGGGGGCAACATATACAAATGGTCTGTATTCGCTTAGAGGGGGCAACATATACAGATGTTCTGTATTCTCGGTGGCGGGCAACAGATATAAGTGGTCTGTATTCGCGTGGAGGGGGCAACATATGCAAATGATCTGTACCCGTGTGGAGGGGGCAACATATACAAATGGTCTGTATTCGCTTGGAGGGGGCAACAGATACAGATGTTATGTATTCGTGTGGAGGGGGCAACGATACAAGTGGTCTGTATTCGCTTGGAGGGGGCAACAGATACAGATGTTATGTATTCGTGTGGAGGGGGCAACATAAACAAATGGTCTGCATTCGCGTGGAGGGGGCAACAGATACAGATGTTCTGTATTCGCTTGGAGGGGGCAATATATACAGGTTTTATGTATTCGCGTGGAGGGGGCAACAAATACAAATGTTCTGTATTCGCGTGGAGGGTCAACATATACAGATGTTCTGTATTCTCGGTGGCGGGCAACAGATATAAGTGGTGTGTATTCTCGGTTGGGGCAACATATACAAATGGTCTGTATTCGCGTGGAGGGGGCAACATATACAAATGGTCTGTATTCGAGTGGAGGGGGCACATATACCGATGTTTTGTATTCGTGTGAGAGGGGCAACATGTATCAATGTTATCTTTTGCGTGAAGACGACAACATAATATATCCATGTTTTGTAGTTTGCGTGAAGACATTAACCAATGTTAGACATGGTGTGAGGGCAGTCTCTCGGCATCTGCACCTACAGTGTCCACTGGAAACGTTGTATGGCATATCGAATGTAGATGCTAATTACCTTCAACACTAAGTTAACAAAGAATCGAAAACGGACCTTCCTGACTAGAACCAATAAATAAACAGCTTGTCTCGCCAGCAGAGATTCCCTTACCACGTGTGACGGCTAAGTTTATTGTAAAAGACGAAGTTGAAAGGGGTCTGAAAACATATATCCCGTTAATGCGAGTAGCAGTGAAATTCGGGTTAGATCTGTAAGAGCTCCTTGTATCGAATTAGCAACACCGACGAACCTTTGGCCCCCTAAACTGTACGCTCGCCATATATTAGCCTATTCCTACCCAGACAGTGCGAGGCTGCTTGCATTATCTAGTACGTCTTAGCTTTCGTTTTTATTTCTATTGTTGGAAAAGAAGTTGAGGAATGCTGTCCGCTGCCGTGTGTTGTCGTGACACCTAGTTGGCTGCTGACGGAGGTGTATTTTACCAACTAGAATATATCTGCAGCAATTAATCCTTCACGTCGGCTTCTGTGACACTTGGTCTATTGCTTGCAAGGGCTTTCTCGCAGCTTTTTTGTCCTTCCGAAACCATGGGAGAGTTAAGATATTGCGTTTGATGCTAGAAGTCAAGGTATGTTTTGGCAAAGGTACAGTATAGATTACAGCAAATAGGTGAGTTGTCTAATGTTGACAAGGCTTAAAGTGGAGATGTCCAGGTGGTGACATGGAACAGCAGCCCAGTGGAAGGCTAGACGCGACATGTCACTGTACAAATCAATTTCGAGACTTTTTTCTTCGAATGAATGTGTTTAGCATCAGTCTTATTCCAGGAAGACTTAGCTCAGTGTACATGACAGTGTATGTCATCTTAATCCTCCCGTGTAATGGAGGAGCACTGAGAACCCCGATATGGAAACATTACCTTTCAGGTTAAATACATGAACATAGCATCTGAATGAGTTGAGAACATACGCCAGTATCTAACGGTTTGCCTACCTTCCGTCCGGCTCTGTTATTATGAAGATTCATCAACGATCTCGCACTCTCAGCTATTTCCCGAGCATCCATAAATTTACGTGCTAATTTCAATCCATATTTAATATCGGCACTACAGCCGCCCCACTTCCAGCCTTCGGGGGCGAGTTTACCGTCCATTTTGTCTTTATCACAGCTACAGTTAGTGAGGTTCCCTAGGCTGCACGCCTGGGTGATGGCGTACGTGACTCCAGCCGAACTAATGGCGTAGCTGAAGGCAGCCTCACGACTTCCTGCAACAAGGAAAGTGTACATCATTAGGAATCAGTTAAAGTTCAAGGTTAGTATGAAGGTAACTTGCTGTGCAATACATAAGTTCATTTTACTGCTGTGTCTGGCTACATACAAAACGCTGGTGAGCTGAGATGATTTCAACGTAAACTTCATTCTAATTAATGGTTTATGTCCCCAACACACAGATACAGATGTCGCCTACGTTGGAAGCAAGGAAACTAACGGCCGTTATGTGTAACACACAACTACTTCAAGGTAATTGCATAGCAGGTGTCCTAGGTAGCCTATTTACTTGAACAATAAATTACTGAATACAGTCAAAATATCGCAGGGGTAACAAATAACATATTTACTTGAAAGGTGAATTACTGAATACAGTCAAAATATCGCTGAGGTAACAAATAACATATTTACTTGAAAGGTGAATTACTGAATACAGTCAAAATATCGCTGAGGTAACAAATAACATGTTTACTTGAAAGGTGAATTACTGAATACAGTCAAAATATCGCTGAGGTAACAAATAACATGTTTACTTGAAAGGTGAATTACTGAATACAGTCAAAATATCGCTGAGGTAACAAATAACATATTTACTTGGAAGGTGAATTACTGAATACAGTCAAAATATCGCTGAGGTAACAAATAACATATTTACTTGAAAGGTGAATTACTGAATACAGTCAAAATATCGCTGAGGTAACAAATAACATATTTACTTGAAAGGTAAATTACTGAATACAGTCAAAATATCGCTGAGGTAACAAATAACATATTTACTTGAAAGGTGAATTACTGAATACAGTCAAAATATCGCTGAGGTAACAAATAACATATTTACTTGAAAGGTGAATTACTGAATACAGTCAAAATATCGCTTACTAAATAGACTGATGACTACAGTTGAAATAGTTGAGGAAACAAGCAGGTTATTAACATATTATTTACCTTCTAATTACAGTTTTAATATGTTTCGGTTCATAGTCAATATATCGTAGATATTAAATAGCTCGCTTACATCAAATATATTCCTAACAGTTACCTGATTATTGTAGATGAAGCAATGCTCAGTTCATATGAATAAGAAACTACTGACCACAGTTATGCGACTGTATATTATACAACAACCGCTTTGTATACAAAATAAATTACTGATTATTTCCTGAACATCGAAGAATATTTTAGCATTGTCACTTTTTACATGTGTCGACAGGGGAACTAGCTCAGAATTATACGTCAAGGAAGCCGGACTTCCTCAGTTGATAAACAGTATTTACACAACGAGCAGAACACACTCAGACAATTGTGAGGTGAGCGGATTTCTAGCTCAACCTCAGGGTGTTGGCGGCACGTATGAGGTCGCCCCTATACAGGCAGTCGGAATACCGGACTGACAGACAGTATAGGTGTCAACACATAGATACTTAAAGGCAACAGTGGACAGATAAAGGAAGAGTGGCCTGGCCCTGGACTTATTGACAGCCTAGGCCAAGGGGGTGACCAATTAAGGCTATTAATTTCATACCCAGTAATTAATGAAAGTGATAGAGTGACGCTGGTTGGCTGACCATGTATAACATGGTGGTGGTGAGGATTGGAAAGGGGAAGATAAGCGTCATATGCATAATTACAACTAAGTGATGCTTGTCTAGACTACATGTGGCTTAGTCTTTGAAATTATTTGGACAGTGGCTATCCTGAATTAATCACCATGACAACTTCCCAATAATCCGTAAAGTTTAGACCCCAAGTCAAAATAATCAGAATTCAACCAAATACGGTTGAAGTTGAAGAAGAACATTGAAGAAAAGAACACAGCATACCAGTACATTATCATTGAGGACCGGGACGGTGGGATAGCCGAGTGGTTAAAGCGTTCGCTCGTCACGCCGAAGACCCCGGGTATTCCGACCCACATGACTACATTGTGTGAAGCCCATTTCTGGTGTCCCCCGCCATGATATTGCTCGAATATTGCTAAAAGCGGCGTAAAACCCCACTCACGAACTCATTATCATTAAGGACCAGTCCATAATGTGGCTGAAATCAGCTAAAAAAATATGTATAATGCCATGACCTGACCATGGCGGAGTAGATGCTATGAAGCAGAAATAACCCGACAATGGCGTGGTAGATGCTATGAAGCAGAAAGGACCTAACAATGGCGGGGTAGATGGTATGAAGCAGAAATGACCTGACAATGGCGGAGTAGATGGTATGATCAGAAATTACCTGACAATGGCGAGGTAGATGCTATGAAGCAGAAATGACCCGACAATGGCGGGGTAGATGGTATGAAGCAGAAATGACCTGACCATGGCAGAGTAGATGCTATGAAGCAGAAATAACCCGACAATGGCGTGGTAGATGCTATGAAGCAGAAAGGACCTGACAATGGCGGGGTAGATGGTATGAAGCAGAAATGACCTGACAATGGCGGAGTAGATGGTATGAAGCAGAAATTACCTGACAATGGCGAGGTAGATGCTATGAAGCAGAAATGACCCGACAATGGCGGGGTAGATGGTATGAAGCAGAAATGACCTGACCATGGCAGAGCAGATGCTATGAAGCAGAAATAACCCGACAATGGCGTGGTAGATGCTATGAAGCAGAAAGGACCTGACAATGGCGGGGTAGATGGTATGAAGCAGAAATGACCTGACAATGGCGGAGTAGATGCTATGAAGCAGAAAGGACCTGACAATGGCGGAGTAGATGATATGAAGCAGAAATAACCCGACAATGGCGTGGTAGATGCTATGAAGCAGAAATGACCTGACAATGGCGTGGTAGATGCTATGAAGCAGAAATGACCTGACAATGGCGGGGTAGATGCTATGAAGCAGAAATGACCTGACAATGGCGGGGTAGATGCTATGATCAGAAATGATCCGATAATGGCGGGGTAGATGCTATGATCAGAAATGACCTGACAATGGCGGGGTAGATGCTATGAAGCAGAAATGACCTGACAATGGCGGGGTAGATGCTATGATCAGAAATGATCTGATAATGGCGGGGTAGATGCTATGATCAGAAATGATCCGATAATGGCGAGGTAGATGCTATGATCAGAAATGATCTGATAATGGCAGGGTAGATGCTATGATCAGAAATGACCTGACAATGGCGAGGTAGATGCTATGATCAGAAATGATCTGATAATGGCGGGGTAGATGCTATGATGCAGAAATGACCTGATAATGGCAGGGTAGATGTTATGAAGCAGAAATGATCTGATAATGGCGAGGTAGATGCTATGATCAGAAATGACCTGATAATGGCAGGGTAGATGCTATGATGCAGAAATGACCTGATAATGGCAGGGTAGATGTTATGAAGCAGAAATGATCTGACAATGGCGAGGTAGATGCTATGATCAGAAATTATCTGATAATGGCGGGGTAGATGCTATGATGCAGAAATGACCTGATAATGGCGAGGTAGATGCTATGATGCAGAAATGACCTGATAATGGCAGGGTAGATGTTATGAAGCAGAAATGATCTGATAATGGCGAGGTAGATGCTATGATCAGAAATGACCTGATAATGGCAGGGTAGATGCTATGATCAGAAATGTACGGAAGCGTAGTAGGGCCACGTTGAAAAATTGTTTTGGTCTTACTATCTCCTACGTAGTACTTAATATCTCCTACGTAGGACATAGTATCTCCTACGTAGGACTTAATATCTCCTACGTATATTAAGTCGACTTAATATCTACGTAGGACTTAATATGTCCTAAGTAGGACTTAGTATCTCCTACGTAGGACATAGTATCTCCTACGTAGGACTTAGTATCTCCTACGTAGGACATGGTATCTCCTACGTAGATGTTAGTATCTCCTACGTAGGACTTAGTATCTCCTAAGTGGGTATCTCCTACGTAGGACTTAGTATCTCCTACGTAGGAGTTAGTATCTCCTACGTAGGACTTAGTATCTCCTAAGTAGGACATAGTATCTCCTACGTAGGACTTAATATCTCCTACGTAGGACTTAGTATCTCCTACGTAGGACTTAATATCTCCTACGTAGGACTTAGTATCTCCTACGTAGGACTTAGTATCTCCTACGTAGGAGTTAGTATCTCCTACGTAGGACTTAATATCTCCTACGTAGGACTTAGTATCTCCTACGTAGGACTTAATATCTCCTACGTAGGACATAGTATCTCCTACGTAGTACTTAATATTTCCTGTAGGAGATGATCGATATACGTTTATATGGATTAATCTGAAACTGTCGACTTAAAGCCCCAGACACGCACACAATCTCCTGTTTCACTGTTTCAGTCACTGTAAGAGTCTACAGTCATTCGTTTCATTCACTATTAGAGTCTACAGTTATGTGTTTCATTTACTGTTAGAGTCTACTATCATGTGTTTCAATTTACTATTAGAGTCTACTGTTTCCTTCACTATTAGAGTCATTTGTTCAACTAAGTGTTGCACATCAGTACTGAGTTGGACCGACTGTTATACTTTACTGCCTTGCGTTCAGTTTGCTCTACTATTACGCGTTGCAGTTAGTTCACTGTTATATGTTGCACTTTGTTACACTTTACTATTATGCATTGGATATTTCAGAGGTCGTTGCACATGAATCATAATCTGCGTGTACACTATAGGTGGCAATCTATGTGTACGTATCCCCTTATATTTATACAAATAACTATAATGACAATTCTTTGCCTTTTTGAATTTCGTATTGTTTTACGCCGCACTCAACACTTGTCCACCCCAGTCTAGTCAACCTGTAAAGAATTACGAATAAAACCCCAAACGAGCGTTGCATCCGATCCAACCTAGCCCCATCAAGACAAACAACAACTTGCGGAGGTCGTGTTATAACCCGAGTTTCATATCACAACCTCACCCCAACCATCCCATCCCCTCTGTGTGTGTGTGTGTGTGTTTGTGTGTGTTTGTGTGTGTGAATAGATGTATGTATGATAGATTAAACATAACCATACCCAAACCTCCATAACTGCAATCAGAACAGGGTCCACGTCACCCTAACGTAATACACACACAATAACACTGTACAGTAACACTATGTTAATGTCATGAATATTCACTGACTCACATTTCGACTATCTAACGTCCTGCATAGCCAAACATTTCTCAACGTAGGAGATACTAAGTCCTACGTAGGAGATAGTATGTCCTACGTAGGAGATACTTACTCCTACGTAGGAGTTATTAAGTGCTACGTAGGAGATAGTGACCCCCCAAAAAAATTTCACCGTGGCCCTACTACGCTTCCGTAGAAATGACCTGATTATGGCGGGGTAGATGTTATGATGCAGACGTGACTTGCTCATGGCGGAGTGGATGCTATGAAACAGACGTGACCTGACCATGCCGGGATAGATGCTATGACATGCTGTACGTTTCTGGCTTATGCTCGTAATGCTTATAACTACTCATGATCCCCCTACGCAACAAACCTCGAGCACAGTCAACGATCCCTGGTCGTTATGGAAACATTTGTTTTAGAAAATAGGGAATGTCTGAATGATATTGAAGATGAAATACATGTACTGTTTCACTGTGTATTATTACTGTTTCATTACTTTAAATGATTGTGTTAGTTTATGTCCGGAATTTTTAGATAAAGCCGATATCGACAAATTATGTTTTATATTCAACAATCCTAATCTTTGTTATGTTTTAGCCAAAATCTGCTTTTTAATTCTCAACAGAAGGAAAGCACTTTTTATGCTTAATAACCTTTTGATCATTTTGGGGTTTCATAATGATGTTTGTCTCTCATGATTCTCTTTTGAATGGTTCTGTACATTTTACTTGTTGAATGTTTGTAAATATCAGTTGTATGTACGTATATATCAAATATTGTCCCCAAATCTGGCGTCACGCACGTTATCCAACTGCTAAAACAAATGCAATCTTTCCATTGAAGCTACTGGGTAAACTGAACCTAGAATTTCTAACTGAATTTAGATTTGAAAATGCTTGCCACAGTATGCAACTTCTGTTTGAAAACAGATCGGCAAGACACGTCAATCGTCAATTGTAATTATTTGGTTACAGGTAATTAAAGACCTTCTTTGATCACCATCTTTCGTGATATCGTGAAAGCGATATTTGATCTGAAGCAAGGCATTATTGACAGAGGGACCGCAGCCTCTCCTCACTGTTGACAAATTATCCACCATGTTTGTTACACAAGAAATGCTATGATTACTGGTGACAGTGACAAATTGTCCATGTTTGTTATACATGCTATGATCACTGGTGACGTTGACAAACTGTCCACCATGTTTTTCACACATGCTATGATTACTGGTGACGTTGACAAACTGTCCACCATGTTTATTACACATGCTATGATTACTGGTGACGTTGACAAATTTGGTCAACCATGTTTATTACACATGCTATGAATACTGATGGCGTTGACAAACTGTCCACCATATTTTTTACACATGCTATGATTACTGGTGACGTTGACAAACTGTCCACCATGGTTTTTACACATGCTATGAATACTGGTGGCGTTGACAAACTGTCCACCATGTTTATTACACATGTTATGAATACTGGTGGCGTTGACAAACTGTCCACCATGTTTATTACACATGTTATGATTACTGGTGACGTTGACAAATTGTCCACCATGTTTATTACACATGCTATGAATACTGGTGGCGTTGACAAACTGTCCACCATGTTTATTACACATGTTATGAATACTGGTGGCGTTGACAAACTGTCCACCATGTTTTATTACACATGTTATGATTACTGGTGACGTTGACAAATTGTCCACCATGTTTATTACACATGCTATGACTACTGGTAGCGTTGACAAACTGTCCAGCATATTTGTTATACATGAAATGCTATGATTATTGGTGACGTTGACAAATTGTCCACCATGTTTGTTACACATGAAATGCTATGAATACTGGTGACGTTGACAACATGTCCATTATATTTTTTTACACATGCTATGATATGATTATGGTTGACGTTGACAAACTGTCCATCATGTTTGTTACACATGATATGTAAACTATCCACCGTGTTTGTTACATGAAATGATTACTGGTGACGATGACAAACTGTCCACCGTGTTTGTTACAATGCTATGATTACTGGTGACGTTGATGAACTGTCCACCGTGTTCGTTACACATGATATGATATTACTGGTGACGTTGACAAACTGTCCACCATATTTGTTACACTTGATATGATTACTGTTGACGCATTCATGTCCGCAACTGCAACCACATACAGGGACACATATATAAACGATACAATGCATATACAGAAATCTACAGATTATTGACTTGATACAACACGAAAATCCCCCTAGTGCGTTTTTTGTGTGATTAGTTTCACAACCGTGCATAATAACACACACATCATATAACATCCCATACCTCATCTTACTGACCTGGGACAGAACTAGGTGTTATTAATCTCGATATTTCTATAGGATGCTAGGGTGTCCTTCTACCTTGTGTATTCTAATCCTAGGTGTTAATCTGAAGCGGCCCCCATAAGCCTAGATAAATGTTTATAGAAAACACTGAGCACAAAGAGATCATTCGGCGTTATTGGTGTCAACAGAAATTCACCATGGTGTCCAGACCATCCGCACCTCATCGGCATGACCACCCGTAGCATTTGGGTCAACAACGGGTTCAACTTTCAGCACAGGAGCGATATCATCAATGCCTACAGCAATGTGTGCATGCAGAAGGCTGTACTTGCACATCAAAGGCAACAGGGGCCCGAATACCAGCCCTAAACATGGATTACTTCATACCCTAATCTTCACATGTCATTTGTGGGCAAGGGTGAGCCGCTGTATCCAGTCCGTGTTAATGACGTATGTGTGTCTTATCTGCTCCTCCGTCGTAATACCAGGGGGAACTAATGTCCTGCTAAAGGTCATGTTAAGGTGATTAGCCGAATGCCGGGATACATACAGGGGTTTCTTTGTCAGACGAGACCGTTTACAGGATGGATTAGCGGCTAAAGGGATTAACTGTTAGACGGTTCAACATAGCCCAGTTACATACTTTACAGTTTAAACGTTGTGTACGATAGTTCATGCAGAGGGAGAGCCGCTGGGAAATCTCACTGAGTGTAACGCCATGTACAAAAACAAATGTGGTCGTTTGAAATTCCAAAAATGACAACATATTATCGTGGCTACCTTTGCTTGTAGGTTCGTCAGTTTATGACTTTTAGGCGGTCCAGAAAGCCAAAACTGATGACTGTAAAATTGGTTCACGTCATATACAATGTTGATTACAATACGTAACGTGGGATATATTCCTAGGATTATTTAGGTATTGTAGCATAAAGTAAAGCATGTGTCAGTGCATAGAAGGCAATATTATGTATATTATGTACTTATTACCTTAAGGTGGAAACAAGGAAGGACTTCAAGTAGACAAGATTCTGCACCATTGTATTGGAGGGAAAGCAAAGCCATGTATTACTATCCACATTCTGACTGCTACGTGACGCTGATGCCAAATGTGTCTGCCGTTTTGTGGACGTTAATAAAGAATATATCTTTGCCGTAAAATGTCCTTCTTAGGAAAAACATATCGCCATTTTCTGGAGGGCAGAGGGGCGTGGGGCAATGTCCTAGCTCGGACAAAGGAGTTCCGGCGGTGTAGGGGGTGGGGTGGGACTGGATGAATTATTAAATCAATATTTTCACGTGGTGTATTCAGTTGGAAGGCCCCGTCCTCGGTTGTCATATCACACTACACCATGGTTGGGCGACTCTGAATCGGGGACCACTGTTTGGCGGACTAATAGATGGTCTAAGACAGGTCCCGAAAAGGATTCAAGGAGTTTCAAATGATCAAGTATTTAAAGCGTTCACCCGTTGTCTCGTTCTGTTGCAGTGTATGTATAAATAAGGCGGTCTGGCGTCTGGGTACCTCCTGGAGGAGCAGTTCTTTTGATTCGCCGAATCTTCATTTTTTATTTAACCGAAGTAACCTAGATACTGAGGGTACATTCCAAGTCGAGATGCAACTGAATCATTTATGCACGAGGATGATTTTTACCATTATAAAAGTATTGTATCTAGATGAGAGTTTCAGGTTGATTCATCACTGTGACGCATACCGTTAGAAGAAACACAGAGCCTATATACACGCTGAATGTATCTGGTGTACATCACTGTGACCAATACCGCCTATATATCCAGCTGGAAGTACATGTAACAGACGAAACACTGAGCATATCTACATGCTGAATGTATCTGGTGTTCATCACTGTGACCAATACCGCCTATATATCCAACTAGAAGTACATACGAAACACTGGGCCTATCTACATGCTGAATGTATCTGCTGTACATCACTGTGACCAATACCGCCTATATATCCAGATGGAAGTACATGTAACAGACGAAACACTGAGCATATCTACATGCTGAATGTATCTGGTGTTCATCACTGTGACCAATACCGCCTATATATCCAACTAGAAGTACATAAGAAACACTGAGCCTATCTACATGCTGAATGTATCTGGTGTACATCACTGTGACCAATACCGCCTATATATCCAGCTGGAAGTACATGTAACAGACGAAACACTGAGCATATCTACATGCTGAATGTATCTGGTGTTCATCACTGTGACCAATACCGCCTATATATCCAACTAGAAGTACATAAGAAACACTGAGCCTATCTACATGCTGAATGTATCTGGTGTACATCACTGTGACCAATACCGCCTATATACCCAGCTGGAAGTACATGTAACAGACGCAACACTGAGCCTATCTACATGCTGAATGTATCTGGTGTTCATCATTGTGACCAATACCGCCTATATATCCAGCTAGAAGTACATACGAAACACTGGGCCTATCTACATGCTGAATGTATACGGTGTTCATCACTGTGACCAATACCGCCTATATATCCAGCTAGAAGTACATACGAAACACTGGGCCTATCTACATGCTGAATGTATCCGGAATTGATCACTGTGACCAATACCGCCTATATATCCAGCTAGAAGTACATACGAAACTCTGGGCCTATCTACATGCTGAATGTATCTGGTGTTCATCACTGTGACCAATACCGCCTATATATCCAGCTAGAAGTACATACGAAACACTGGGCCTATCTAAATGCTGAATGTATCCGGTGTTCATCACTGTGACCAATACCGCCTATATATCCAGCTAGAAGTACAGACGAAACACTGGGCCTATCTACATGCTGAATGTATCCGGTGTTCAACACTGTGACCAATACCGCCTATATATTCAGCTAGAAGTACATACGAAACACTGAGCCTATATACACGCTGAATGTATCTGGTATTCATCACTGTGACCAATACCGCCTATATATCCTGCTAGAAGTACATACGAAACACTGGGCCTATCTACATGCTGAATGTATCTGGTGTACATCACTGTGACCAATACCGCCTATATATCCAGCTAGAAGTACATACGAAACTCTGGGCCTATCTACATGCTGAATGTATCCGGTGTTCATCACTGTGACCAATACCGCCTAAATATCCAGCTAGAAGTACATACGAAACACTGAGCCTATATACACGCTGAATGTATCCGGAATTGATCACTGTGACCAATACCGCCTATATATCCAGCTAGAAGTACATACGAAACTCTGGGCCTATCTACATGCTGAATGTATCTGGTGTTCATCACTGTGACCAATACCGCCTATATATCCAGCTAGAAGTACATACGAAACACTGGGCCTATCTAAATGCTGAATGTATCCGGTGTTCATCACTGTGACCAATACCGCCTATATATCCAGCTAGAAGTACATACGAAACACTGGGCCTATCTACATGCTGAATGTATCCGGTGTTCAACACTGTGACCAATACCGCCTATATATTCAGCTAGAAGTACATACGAAACACTGAGCCTATATACACGCTGAATGTATCTGGTATTCATCACTGTGACCAAAAACCGCCTATATATCCTGCTAGAAGTACAGACGAAACACTGGGCCTATCTACATGCTGAATGTATCCGGTGTTCAACACTGTGACCAATACCGCCTATATATTCAGCTAGAAGTACATACGAAACACTGAGCCTATATACACGCTGAATGTATCTGGTATTCATCACTGTGACCAATACCGCCTATATATTCAGCGAGAAGTACAGACGAAACACTGAGCCCATCTACATGCTGAATGTATACGGTGTACATCACTGTGACCAATACCGCCTATATATCCAGCCAGAAGTACAGACGAAACACTGAGGCGATCTACACGTTGATTGTATCTGGTGTTCATCACTGTGACCAATACCGCCTATATATTCATCTAGAAGTACATACGAAACACTGAGCCTATCTACATGCTGAATGTATCTGGTGTACATCACTGTGACCAATACCGCCTATATATCCAGCTAGAACTATATACGAAACACTGAGCCTATCTACATGCTGAATGTATCCGGTGTTCATCACTGTGATCAATACCGCCTATATATCCAGCTAAAAGTACATACGAAACACTGAGCCTATCTACATGCTGAATGTATCCGGTGTTCATCACTGTGACCAATACCGCCTATATATCCAGCTAGAAGTACAGACGAAACACTGGGCCTATCTACATGCTGAATGTATCCGGTGTTCATCACTGTGACCAATACCGCCTATATATCCAGCTAGAAGTACATACGAAACACTGAGCCTATCTACACGCTGAATGTATCCGGAATTGATCACTGTGACCAATACCGCCTATATATCCAGCTAAAAGTACATACGAAACACTGAGCCTATCTACATGCTGAATGTATCCGGTGTTCATCACTGTGACCAATACCGCCTATATATCCAGCTAGAAGTACAGACGAAACACTGGGCCTATTTACATGCTGAATGTATCCGGTGTTCATCACTGTGACCAATACCGCCTATATATCCAGCTAGAAGTACATACGAAACACTGGGCCTATGTACATGCTGAATGTATCTGGTGTACATCACTGTGACCAATACCGCCTATATATCCAGCTAGAAGTACATACGAAACACTGGGCCTATCTACATGCTGAATGTATCTGGTGTACATCACTGTGACCAATACCGCCTATATATCCAGCTAGAAGTACATGTAACAGACGAAACACTGAGCCTATCTACATGCTGAATGTATCCGGTGTTCATCACTGTGACCAATACCGCCTATATATTCAACTAGAAGTACATAAGAAACACTGAGCCTATCTACATGCTGAATGTATCTGGTGTACATCACTGTGACCAATACCGCCTATATATCCAGCTAGAAGTACATACGAAACACTGAGCCTATCTACACGCTGAATGTATCCGGTGTTCATCACTGTGCCCAATACCGCCTATATATTCAAGTAGAAGTACAGACGAAACACTGGGCCTATCTACATGCTGAATGTATCTGTTGTTCATCACTGTGACCAATATCACCTATATATTCAGCTAGAAGTACATACGAAAGACTGGGCCTATCTACATGCTGAATGTATCTGGTGTACATCACTGTGACCAATACCGCTTATATATTCAGCTAGAAGTACAGACGAAACACTGGGCCTGTCTACATGCTGAATGTATCTGGTGTTCATCACTGTGACAAATACGGCCTATATATTCAACTAGAAGTACAGACGAAACACTGGGCCTATCTACATGCTGAATGTATCTGTTGTTCATCACTGTGACCAATATCACCTATATATTCAGCTAGAAGTACATACGAAAGACTGGGCCTATCTACATGCTGAATGTATCTGGTGTACATCACTGTGACCAATACCGCCTATATATCCAGCTAGAAGTACATGTAACAGACGAAACACTGGGCCTATCTACATGCTGAATGTATCTGGTGTACATCACTGTGACCAATACCGCCTATATATCCAGATAGAAGTACATGTAACAGACGAAACACTGGGCCTATCTACATGCTGAATGTGTCTGGTGTTCATCACTGTGACCAATACCGCCTATATATTCAGCTAGAAGTACATGTAACAGACGAAACACTGGGCCTATCTACATGCTGAATGTATCCGGTGTTCATCACTGTGACCAATACCGCCTATATATCCAGCTAGAAGTACATACGAAACACTGAGCCTATCTACATGCTGAATGTATCCGGAATTGATCACTGTGACCAATACCGCCTATATATCCAGCTAAAAGTACATACGAAACACTGAGCCTATCTACATGCTGAATGTATCCGGTGTTCATCACTGTGACCAATACCGCCTATATATATCCAGCTAGAAGTACAGACGAAACACTGGGCCTATTTACATGCTGAATGTATCCGGTGTTCATCACTGTGACCAATACCGCCTATATATCCAGCTAGAAGTACATACGAAACACTGGGCCTATGTACATGCTGAATGTATC